CACGGCTGTAGCATTGTTGCCATTACTCTAAGTGCCATTCACACGGCTGTACCATTGTTGCTATTACTCCAAGTGCCATTCACACGGCTGTAGCATTGTTGCTATTACTCTAAGTGCCATTCACCCGGCTGTAGCATTGTTGCTATTACTCCAAGTGCCATTCACACGGCTGAAGCATTGTTGCTATTACTCTAAGTGCCATTCACACGGCTGTAGCATTGTTGCTATTACTCTAAGTGTCATTCACAAGGCTGTTACATTGTTGCCATTACTCTAAATGCCATTCACACGGCTTGAGCATTGTTGATATTACTCTTAGTGTCATTCGCAAGGCTGTAGCATTGTTGCTATCTTTCTAAGTGCCATTCACACGGCTGTAGCATTGTTGCTATTACTCTAAGTGTCATTTACACGGCTGGAGCATTATTGCTATTACTCTAAGTGCCATTCACACGGCTGTAGCATTGTTGCTATTACTCTAAGTGCCATTCACACGGCTGTAACATTGTTGCTATTACTCTAAGTATCATTCACACGGCTGTAGAATTGTTGGTATTACTCTAATTGCCAATCACACGCCTGTAGCATTGTTGCTATTACGCTAAGTGCCATTCGACCGGCTGTAACATTGTTGCTATTACTCTAAGTACCATTCACACGGCTGTAGCATTGTTGCTATTACTCTAAGTGTCATTCACACGGCTGTAGCATTGTTGCTATTACTCTAAGTGTCATTCACATGGCTGTAACATTGTTGCTATTAATCTAAGGGCCATTCACACGGCTGTAGCATTGTTGCTATTACTCTAAGTGCCATTCACACGGCTGTAGCATTGTTGCTATTACTCTAAGTGTCATTCACACGGCTGTAGCATTGTTGCTATTACTCTAAGTGTCATTCATACGGCTGCAGCATTGCTGCTAGTATTATAAGTGCCATTCACACGGTTGTAACATTGTTGCTTTACTCTAAATGCCATTCAAACGGCTGTAGCATTGTTGCTATTGCTGTAAGTGCCATTCACACGGCTGTAGCATTGTTGCTATTAACCTAAGTGCAATCCACACGGCTGTAACATTGTTGCTATTACTCTAAGTGTCATTCACACAGCTGGAGCATTGTTGGTATTACTCTAAGTGCCATTCACACGGCTGTAACATTGTTGCTATTACTCAAAGTGCCACTCACACGGCTGTAACATTGTTGCTATTACTCTAAGTGCCATTCACACGGCTGGAGCATTGTTGCTATTGCTCTAAGTCCCATTCACACGGCTGTAGCACTGTTGCTATTACGTCATGCCCTGAGGAGTGGAGCCGATGGGTTTCTTGCATGGGTCACTGCTGCAAACGAGGAGAATCGTTCCGGGCCACAACTCCAGGAATCAGAGCAACAGGACATCCAGAACCTGCTCAAGAGGTACCAGGATTTATTTCCAGACGAGCTGCCGAATGAGCTTCCACCGAAGAGACCAGTCAACCATGAAATCCAGATAGAAGATGCAGCCAGACCACCGTCTCGACCCGCCTACCGCTTGCCGAAACCAGAGATGGACGAGCTCCAGTCACAGCTGTCAGAATTACTTGAGAAGGGATTCATTGAGCCAAGTAAGTCGCCATACGGTGCACCTGTGTTTTTTGTGAAGAAGTCGGATGGTACTCTGAGAATGGTGTGCGATTGGCGAGAATTGAATAGAATTACGATCAAAAACAAAGCTTGTCTTCCTAATATTGATGACTTATTCGACACGATCCAGGGCAGTGCATATTTCTCCAAGTTGGACTTGCGGTCGGAGTACAATCAAATCAGAATTCAAGACTCGGATGTTTCTAAGACAGGCATTAATACGCCGTTCGGCCACTTCCAATTTAGAGTCATGGGATTCGGGCTGACTAATGCCCCGGCCACCTTTCAGTCACTCATGAACTCTATTCTGCAACCGCATCTCCGAAAATTCGTTGTAGTATTCTTGGATGACATTCTAGTTTTCAGCAAGACCTGGGAAGATCATCAGCAACATCTTCAAACAGTTCTAGAAACACTTACTTCAGTAGAAATAGTGAGCTGTATTGCAAACAGTCTAGATGCGAATTCGGCTTGAGAGAAGTTCTCTTCTTGGGGCATAAAATCAACGGCATATCAATTTCCCCTGATCCCAAGAAAATATGTGCTGTGGAAACATGGCCAACTCCGTCGTCATTAACTGATGTGAGGAAGTTTCTTGGCTTTGCAAACTATTTCCGAAGGTTCATAGATCGACACTCGACCATCTCTCGTCCATTAGAATAAATCACCGGAAAAAATTCACGCTTTGAATGGAGCGCTGCTAGACAGAAGGCATTCGAGTCTCTAAAATCAGCATTACTCGAGGCGCCACGGCTGTAGCATTGTTGCTATCACTCTAAGTGCCATGCACAAGGCTGAAGCATTGTTGCTACCACTCTAAGTGCCATGCACACGGCTGTAGCATTGTTGCTATTACTCTAAGTGCCATTCACACGGCTGTAGCATTGTTGCTATTACTCTAAGTGTCATTCACACGGCTGTAACATTGTTGCTATTACTCTAAGTATCATTCACACGGCTGTAGCATTGTTGCTATCACTCTAAGTGTCATTCACATGGCTGTAGCATTGTTGCTATTACTCTAAGTGCCATTCACACGGCTGTAACATTGTTGCTATTACTCTAAGTGTCATTCACACGGCTGTAGCATTGTTGCTATTACTCTAAGTGTCATTCACACGGCTGTAGCATTGTTGCTATTACTCTGAGGGCCATTCACGCGGCTGTAGCATTGTTGCTATTACTCTAAGTGCCATTCACACGGCTGTAGCATTGTTGCTATTACTCTAAGTGTCATTCACACGGCTGTAGCATTGTTGCTATTACTCTAAGTGTCATTCACACGGCTGTAACATTGTTGCTATTAATCTGAGGGCCATTCACGCGGCTGTAGCATTGTTGCTATTACTCTAAGTGCCATTCACACGGCTGTAGCATTGTTGCTATTACTCTAAGTGTCATTCACACGGCTGTAACATTGTTGCTATTAATCTGAGGGCCATTCACGCGGCTGTAGCATTGTTGCTATTACTCTAAGTGCCATTCACACGGCTGTAGCATTGTTGCTATTACTCTAAGTGTCATTCATACGGCTGCAGCATTGCTGCTAGTATTATAAGTGCCATTCACACGGTTGTAACATTGTTGCTTTTACTCTAAATTCCATTCAAACGGCTGTAGCATTGTTGCTATTGCTGTAAGTGCCATTCACACGGCTGTAGCATCGTTGCTATTACTCTAAGTGCCATTCACACGGCTGTAGCATTGTTGCTATTACTCAAAGTGTCATTCACACGGCTGTAGCATTGTTGCTATTACTCAAAGTGTCATTCACACGGCTGTAACATTGTTGCTATTACTCAAAGTGTCATTCACACGGCTGTAGCATTGTTGCTATTACTCTTAGGGCGCGTTCGAATTGTCTTCATCAACTGTTCAAACAAATTTTAGAAAGAGATTAGTCGAAGTGTCCCATCACGGCTGTCAAGAAGCGGCAACTTAGAAAGATGGCGTCGGTTCGAGATGGCATGGTAACCGCGCACGTGCCGTGGTCCGTGACTTGCTCATGTATGCACGCAAATGCAAGTCAAACTCACAAAGATCGTCTTTGCATTTGGAGAAAATATCTTCGACTCTCTTTGGAGGTTGGCGAGGTTTGCCTAATCTTTACTTGATTGCGATGCCGGTATGTCCTCTCAATAATTAGAACAAAGAGAGCTGATGATCGCTTCATTGCTGAGCAGAAGTAACAATCAACTCTCCTCCGTGTCCTCAGTGCCAAAGGCAGACGACTGCAATTCCACAACGCTCGTTTCACGATGATGGAAACAATAATCGTGTACTAGTACACACTTGGACCATTTTGGTCATCCCTGTTCTAGCCGCTAGTCCGTCCAGCAAGCAGATATTGACTATTACGATAAGGACAACTGCGTGAACGAGGGCTCGCCCAGCAAATTCAATTCAAGACGTGACTCCAGTCAAGAATTAGGGTCTTTACTCGAGAACGTCACAAATACAGGTCAAGGCACCCCACAAAACTGATAGATGGCACGAACGAAAGACAAATAGGCTAGACAAAGTGTCCCAAGTGATTGAAAACAGCAGATCTACCGAATAAGACAGCTACATGTGCCTAAACAACGATTCCCATACAGTAGAGAGTAGTATCAGGCAGAATGAAAGCCTTGGAAGTGCACAAATACAGCCACGACCGCCACAAAAATTGGACGACCGCCACAAAAAAAATTCTCATTGCTCTACCTCCTTGAAGGGTGAAAGTTACCAGTTATCCTATAGCGATGTCAGTTTATGCCTGTTGGAACCCCCCACAGCCCGCACGAAATACCTTTCGAATAATTCCAAGATGCAATTGCAGCTCCAGACAGGAGGAAGAAGAACACCGTGAAAAATAATGGCAACGATGCCCAAACTCTCGGGAAACGGCTGAAGTCTTCCTGAAGATGTTAACATTGAATAGCCATCGATTACCAGCGTGGTTTGGTGACTTTAGAACTGTTTTGAGACTTAGAACGTAGCGATATCTCAAATTTGATGGAATTGTTACCTGTCAAATGCGTGGGCGAGCAGGCCAGCTGAGTGGTTATGCATGAACATGCATGAGCATGCATTGATTTTTCATGGTTCACGTGCAGAAAACTAAGTTGCCGCGATCCAAGTGCAGCTAACAGCCGTGCCATTAGAACGGTTTCAATCATTTTATAGTTTTACGGTGGAATTGTCATGGCGATGATGATGTCCGATCAGACCGACCATCTCCACGTACTACGTGACGTGGCTGTAACATTGTTGCTATTACTCTGAGTGCCATTCACACGGCTGTAGCATTGTTGGTATTACTCTAAGTGCCATGCACAAGGCTGTAACATTGTTGGTTATAGCTAAGACTGGTCATGAAACACAGAGCACCACGCATCATCATTGTAACTACTTCGAAGTAAGAGTTTCATGTCCATACTCCATAGGCAATCATCAGACAACTATCAATACTCCATCTCTTCAAACAAACAAAGGGTGAGCAGCAGGATTTAAAACATTTTGAAACAATTCTAAAATATAGATATTAGCACTAAGCACCACAAAACACGATAGAAAGAAAACAGCACCTCAGACATTGTGCACATTCTTCATTGTATCCAAAAGTGACTTTAATAAACTTTATGATGTATTGCGACACTTAGCAGCGAGACATTTTGCTGAAATGCAATGGATTTTCAGAGAAAGGAAAAAGAGCACCCAGCCAACACAATCAATAGAATCATCCTCTGCACATCGAGAATAGGATTGTAACAATGAGAGTGATCCAAATACAATGTATATATACAACTCAGTGCAGGAGTTCATAAGCAAATGCATGCATACACAAACGCATACACAAACATGCACACACACACACACACACACACACACACACACACCCACACCCACACACACACTGACACACACATACACACACAAACAAATGCACACACACATATACACACATATGCAAGCACGCATTCAAGCACGCAAGTATGAGAAACAGCAAAAATATTGGCAATGCTCATAATGTTCACCATCTTAATCAGGCATGTTGGAACTGGTCCAGTCGGTCATGACTTGGCTGGATCTACTGTTGGCCTGCCCAATACATGTTAGCTACGGGCAACGTTATTCATACTCGATGTGTCACACAAAAAAACTGAAAAACTATAGTTAAGCCTGAGCAAACAAACTGCTAATACTGGTCCTGTTCATGTTTCACAGCAGTGAGAAACATTAGTGTAGAACAAGAAACAAGATGCTCCAGGACAAAAGTTAGAACATTGTGATACAGTTTTTGCCATAGTTACTAACATACACAGCACCACTGGGTGATACTGCAATGCCGACCGGATGAGAAAGACAACTGCTTGAACCGAAAGTAGCCACGTGAGAGAATGTGTCAGAAGTGAACACCTAACAGGGTATGACATAGAAAACACACACATACCGGCATACACACACACACACGCACACACACACACACACACACACACACACACACACACACACACACACACACACACACACGCACACATCCGCACACACACACACATACCGGCATACACACATTCACCCACCACATGCATTTACACACACACACATGCCCACACAAACACCCACCACATACATACAAAGTCATATACTTCAGAAGTACACATACTTTACGATTATAATAGAATAGAATATACCCTTGCAGAGATTATAGAAGGTCCCAAAGGGACCAACAGTGTTCAAGTCGTGAGCAGAATCGGGTGTCGTACACAAGAACGCGAACCCGCGCCAACCCCTCCCCCCCCCCCTCCCCTGCCCCACCTACACATACACACATAAAAACACGCACCATGCACACACCATGCACACACCATGCACGCACATGCATTCATGAACACTCACACACATACCGTATTTTCTGGGGTATTGGGCTGTGTTTACATGAGAAATTTCAACCCGGGTCGAGTTCACCCCGGTTGAAAGTCTGTACGAATGACTAAATAGGTGAGCGTTTACATGAAGACAGTTGACCCGGGTCAAATACTGATATGCCACCAAAAGTCCACTTCTACGGTTTCGTATGGTCACGTGAATCTGTTCGGGCGAAATTTGCATGTGCATTGTGCAGTGCTGTTCAAACCTGGCGCGAAATGCGCACAGAAGTACGTTTGTACGATTTTCTTGACCCGGGTCGATTTCAACCCTCCCCTAGCTTGGGGGGAGGGTTGAAATCAACCCGGGGCGAAATTTCAACCCGGGTCAAGCGCAATGCGTCATGTAAACGCGCCATTCATTTTGTGTACATGGCGGGTTGAAATCTGACCCGGGTTGAAATCTGACCCCGGGTTGAAACGCCTCATGTAAACACAGCCTAAGTCTCAATGGAGTATAAGCCGCAACCCCAATTGTTTTCCACAAAATGCAAACATCAACCCTATTAATTTATTACCGATCATCGGAATACAGCTGTATAAGCTGCAACCCACATTTTTGGGTGTATTTTGAGCGTTGGAATTGCGGCTTATACATGAAAATATGGTATACACACAATGAGACAGATTTTATCAGTAAACCTTCTTGCATTTTTAGATTCAATCTTGATGATACCCAGGGCCGAATTTTTTAATTTTTTTTATTGCAGTTCGGAGACCGTATGTGTGTGTGTGTGTGTTTTGAGCGATCTTTTATTTTCTTGCAGGCCTAAAATATCCAGAACATTATTTACCAAAGTATACGGTTTGGCCTCTTTTTTTCTGTGCTGCGCTGGCGAGTCCACTAAGCTATGTTTACATGAGGCGTTTCAGCCAGGGTCAAATTTCAACCCACCCTGACCACAGATTGACTGTAGCGTTAACATGCCGCATGGCGCTTGATCTGGGTTGAAATTTCAAACGGGGTGGATTTCAACCATCCCCTCGGGCCCAGGGAGGGTTGACATTGAGAAATCTTACTACCGTACTTCTGTGAGTATCTTGCACCAAGTTTGAACAGCACTGCACAGGAACAAGTTTGAACAGCACTGCACAGGAACAAGTTTGAACAGCACTGCACAGGAACAAGTTTGAACAGCACTGCACAGGAACAAGTTTGAACAGCACTGCACAGGAACAAGTTTGAACAGCACTGCACAGGAACAAGTTTGAACAGCACTGCACAGGAACAAGTTTGAACAGCACTGCACCGGAACAAGTTTGAACAGCACTGCACAGGAACAAGTTTGAACAGCACTGCACAGGAACAAGTTTGAACAGCACTGCACAGGAACAAGTTTGAACAGCACTGCACAGGAACAAGTTTGAACAGCACTGCACAGGAACAAGTTTGAACAGCACTGCACAGGAACAAGTTTGAACAGCACTGCACAGGAACAAGTTTGAACAGCACTGCACAGGAACAAGTTTGAACAGCACTGCACAGGAACAAGTTTGAACAGCACTGCACAGGAACAAGTTTGAACAGCACTGCACAGGAACAAGTTTGAACAGCACTGCACAGGAACAAGTTTGAACAGCACTGCACAGGAACAAGTTTGAACAGCACTGCACAGGAACAAGTTTGAACAGCACTGCACAGGAACAAGTTTGAACAGCACTGCACAGGAACAAGTTTGAACAGCACTGCACAGGAACAAGTTTGAACAGCACTGCACAGGAACAAGTTTGAACAGCACTGCACAGGAACAAGTTTGAACAGCACTGCACAGGAACATTTTGCGCAAATGCTTTCACGTGACATTGTAGGACTCAGGCAGGCACAGTGGATTGGTCTCATACCATGATTGAGAAACGAGAGGTACTGTACCAGGTTCAAGTCCTGCTTGGAAGTGGAAGGATTTTTTCCAATCGTGCTGCGACCCACAGTTAATTGGGAACTCGTCGCCTGGCATGAGTTAAACATGGATGTGGCAAATGGGATTAAGGCCTTTGGCCTCTGGTTGGTGGATCTCATCTATCCTCCCCCACCGTTTAGGAGCCGTATCTGACGCCTGATCATGGGGTGGTGGCGTCCCACGGAAGCAGAAAGGTGGTTCTTGACCTTGGAGTTGTATGACTCCTTGTTATTGACCTGCCCGGTACGCGAACCCGTCGAATTTAATATTTTCTTTTTATGTAGGACTCTAGAAGTGGACTTTTTGACGGCATATCAGTATTTGACGCGAGTCAACTGTCTTGTGAACACCCACTTATTTTCCCATGTACGGACTTTCAACCCGGGTAGAAAATTCTCATGTAAAACAAGCCACCGGACAAAACAATTCTGCCCGCAGATTGAGTACCGGATTTTCTGGGGTGTTCCGCACTTTGAAATGCATACAAAAACTGCAAAATCACACCTGCGGCTAAGACTGGGAATGCTAGGAATGACTACCAACGCTACAGCACTCTATGAATATACTGCATGCATGGTGTTGTTCAGCTACTCTTCATGTACTGCAGCCCATCATTGTACTGGTGCAAAGCTTCTTATTGTACATGCTGCCAGTTCTGAGCGAACGGCAAAGTAGACAACCTTTGTAGAACTTCGGTCATGTTTCTCAACCTTTTAACCATTGTTGCCAAAACATTCGAAATCTGATGGGATGGTGGCTTATACAGCAGATGGCAATACAAATACAGATGGTGGACCCGAAAAGGCAGGTCCGCCTTAGACTCTGGTGAGCCCAACACACCGTAATATTCGGCATTTTGCTCCTGCTCTTGTACTGTCATACGATCTTGGACATGGAAATCCGGTCACACGTCTAGCGGCCCAAGGGCGCTGGCCATTCAGCCGTGGATAAGCAGTACACACATGCATTACATGTACATGTACATGTTGATGTATGCACTGCAGTGCACTGGTCACTGCACTGCACTGGTCACTGCAGTGCACTGGTCACTGCACTGCACTGGTCACTGCAGTGCACTGGTCACTGCAGTGCACTGGTCACTGCAGTGCACTGGTCACTGCAGTGCACTGGTCACTGCAGTGCACTGGTCACTGCAGTGCACTGGTCACTGCAGTGCACTGGTCACTGCAGTGCACTGGTCACTGCATTGCACTGGTCACTGCAGTGCACTGGTCACTGCAGTGCACTGGTCACTGCAGTGCACTGGTCCCTGCAGTGCACTGCAGTGACCAGTGCACTGCAGTGCTCTGGTCACTGCAGTGACCAGTGCACTGCAGTGCACTGGTCACTGCAGTGCACTGGTCACTGCAGTGCACTGGTCACTGCAGTGCACTGGTGACTGCAGTGCACTGGTCACTGCAGTGCACTGGTCACTGCAGTGCACTGGTCACATCAGATCAACATGACTGTTGTACACAACGTTCTGTACGCACTGAGGACGCCGGCCCAGGTCAATCCACTGGGTTGCCATGTCCAGAACTGTAGTAGGTGAGCAATTTCGTGCGAGATAGTGCCTTTGCTGTTTGCCTGCGTTATGCACAGCTCACTGACGTGTCAGTTTGAGCACTCTGGTAACGTGCTTTTGGGCCTTATTTAAATCTGGCTTTGGAAAATATTTTTTCATTGCTACATGTATCAGGTTCGGCCACATTTTCCCTTTGCTGCGCTGACGAGTCCACAAAGGACCACAGAGAATGCTGTCCACAGATTGAGGTTATCCGAGAACTAGATACTAGAGTAACCATCTCACTATGAACTTGGAATGGAGGAACTGTCAACGCCATTACTTCCCTTG